TGTAAGTTAGGCCCAAGTACTTAAGGATTTGAGTGGACTGTTGATCATGGAGTTAGGCTTAATTGGTTTGCCACATGTTCATCTGACTAACTAGGACTTGGGTATAGTAGATTAGGTCAGCCCAAGGCTTAGATCCGAACCGTTTCATATTTAGTCCCTTCATTTGCCCCCCTAACTCGTGTAAAGGTTTCCCTTGGGACGAGCTACTGTTCAGTACCCCAACCGTCGTGTCACTTCGAATCTACTTTAGCTCGGCCTTGGTGGTGGTTCAATCCGTACACATATACTTCCACATATATCTTTTCACTAGGACACGTGGCAACGTGGCACTGGAATGTAGAGATAGTGCGCCGATTCCGTACAGAGGGACGTGATTTTGTACCATCATGTCGTTTGGGGGTAATAAATGCCCTAGAGATGCCTCCTCAATCGCTTCATCTGCTCTAATTTTTGAAATCCCCAAAACCTTTTCACTTACTCTTGGTTTCGACGGTACTCCCCTTAGACACTTGCCGCTATTACTAAGGGTTGCGAATGCTTTCGTTCTTGTTCTAGTTTCAAGGACCTTCGCTCCTTACTGTTTCTTCATCGATCTTCATTGAATCCCTGTAAGTTCTTATGAAGCTCTTCTTTTCTCTTGCTTTTCTGTTTGTGTCGCCGTTGTTGGCCCTCGTGCCACTGTTTCTGGCGACTGGTGCTATTTCCCTGTTTCATGCTTAGCTTAGTTCTGTCCTTGCCCTTCTAGGTCTAGTCAATGGGAAAATTTCATGCACTGGTGGATACTCCTAAGGCAATGGCTTTGTTTTGCTGTGACTATGGCATCCCTAATGATATTACCCTCACCTTGGCTAAGGTCGATGCCCAGCGCATGGGTACCAGAAACACTGTTGCTTTCCCTATTGCCGCTATCGTTGAATGAGGGGTCCGACTCCCTCTTGACCCATTAGTATGTCATTTTCTGCTCCAAGTCCAACTTACCCCAATGCAAGTGTCTGTAAACCTGTTCCGAGTCATTTGCAGTGTTTTTGCTCTGAATAGGCGATTAGGTCTGAATTTGGACATCTGGGACATCCTAGGTTGTTATACCCTTTCTCACAATAAAGACCATAGTACCTATTACCTCCGTGTTCGTTCTGTTGACTGCCACCTCGTAACCAGTTTACCTGACTTCGGTAAGCACAATGATGATTTCTTGCAAGTTAGTGGGAACTGGGAATTCCTTGCTGGGACCGAGTTCTAGTTTGAGAGGATGCCTAAAAACGATGGCTACTGTCACGACCCAAATCTGCCCTTTAGGTTTAGTGTTGTAACTGGCCAGTAATCCTTAGATTACCAAAGGCCTCTGTACAGAAGAACATATATTTAAGGGGCTAGCGGAAGCAATTATACAAAATACAACATCCATAGAGTTGTGCAGACATACATGGAACAGAAGTTTAAAACTTTATATACACACATGTGACGTCAAATTTACAATAGTGTTACGTCACCCACATATATAGATAAAACCAAAACAGGACTTAGTCCGATATACAGATAAACAAAAACTTGTTCAGATTTTACAAAAAGAAAACAAAGTCTTAAACTTAGTTTACAAAACACAACCACATGACTTTTCCAGAACCTCCTCGGGAGGCATAAAGGTTGGCCGACAAAACAGAGTTCCAGGCATTCATCATTGAACTTGGTCGTGTGGCTGATCGTCTACATACATAAATAATACAGTGAATGGAAGCCCAGTGAATAATAACAAGGTAAAGGTGTAACAACCTCGGCCTGTGATTAGTCACTAATCCATGATTAAGAGTACCTAATTAGTAATCAAGAAGAAATTATGGATTAATTGCATGTGTATCACATTATTTATATTTATATCTATCTGTTGTAGGAATATATGTTTGTATTTTTGTTTTGTTATACGAATTGCAGGCTTTATCGGCATCCGATTACGAAACTGACTGGGTTTATAAGGTATTTAGAATTTTATAATAGGTTTGATTGAAATTCGATTCAAAACGAAATAATTAGAATAAATGATGTTACTTGATTAGGCTTAAACCAATTTTTAATTAAGCCCTACTAAGTAGCCTATATAAGGCCAATACAACTCTAGGACTCTCTCATACACCACTTCACCTTCATTCCTTGAGTCAGGAAACGTGAAAGAGAAAGAGAGACCACGGAAAAAGATTAAATTCAAGAAGATTAAGGGAGAATTGCTAAGATTGATCAAGAATTGGAAGGAATTGGTGATAGTTAGTCAAGCCTAGCTAGAATCTAAGGAAATTGTGAACTTTAGGTAAGAAATTAACTCACACTCTATGAGTTTAAGTTACTTTATGCATGATTCAAAGAGAACTGAGTTTAGATGGTAGAATTGAACATGATTCATGCATGCATGCTCATTTTATCATGTTTTGAGGTTGTTTCCAAGAAATTTATACATGCATGTGTTCATTCTAGCATGGTTTTGACAATTGGTCTCATTCCACATCATTTGACATTAATTGATCATGTTTTCAAAGTGTAGAACATGAATTAATACATGCATGTCATGTTTTCATCATTTTAAGTTTGGTTTTGCTCAGGTGGCAAAGTTTTTGGGCTTGATTTTGCGAAATGATTCTAAATTTACAATGACTTACAAGTTTACAAGTGTTTTCTCAACCTTTTGGTCCAAAAGAACCTGTTTTGTAACTTTGAATTCAAGTTTTGAAGCTTGGGAGCAAATATGGAAATTTCAGAATTTTGCCTCACCGCTCGAGCGATAGAACCTGCGCTTGAGCGATCACTCTTTGTTTTGCACTTCCGCTAAAGCGAACCAAAGTTGGCTCGAGCATAAAATTCATGCTCCCAGAAGTTTGCAAATTTTGCAGACTACTCAAGTGACCAAAGTTGCGCTAGAGCGGAGACCCCAGTCTTACGCTCGAGTGACCGTCGAGCAGAGAAATCATGCAACCAGTACTTTTTGCAGAGTTTACAGACTGCTCGAGCGACCGAAGTTGCGCTCGAGCGACCACCTTTATTTTTTAACCTTCACTCGAGCGAATGAAGTTACATTCAAGCGAAGACCTTGTTTTCGGCAAATTTGATTAAGTGTTTTGAATCACATTTTGGCATCGTCATTGCATTTTAGGCATTCTTAAGCCCTAATTAAAACATAATAATGAGGATAAGACTTAGAAACACTCTAAGAACGAAATGCAATGAGTCAAGTATTTTCCGAGCATGTGTTTCAGTGTGCATCTATTATCTATTTGTGTAGGTCACACGCCGTAAGCTATTCAATCTGTATGCTCTGTCTATTTGCTTCTAGAGTCTTCTATAAGTAATAACTTTGTAAAGTTATGTTCAATTAATAAGAATTTTTTGATTGATGTAAAATGATCTGTTTCTGAAATATTATTTTCTGTGTGAATGAATGGTTGTCCAATGTTTCCAAAATGTACTCGTGGCATCATTAGCTTCAGATGACATCTGTTATCTATTCTGTATACGTCCCAATTAGGGTCAACTGTATGTCTCATGAGCCTACTGTTATGGATCATTCTATATACGTCCCATTTATGGGCCAACTGTACGTCTCATTAGCCAACTGTATTATCTTCATACACATGAATCAACTGTATGCCTTTATGGGTCAACTGTTTCTGCTAGTGCTAATGGATGTACCACGTATGATTAACTGCAAATTCTAATTATGGGTCTGATTCTGAATCTATTTTTGTTATGAACTCTGATTTATGAACATGATTATGAATCCATTTCTATTAACTACTGAATCCGTTTTCTGTACCTGTTATGGACAACATTCATTACACTCCTTTACCTTGTTATTATTTACTAGGCTCCCGCTCACTGTATTATTTATATATGTAAGTGATCAGATGCGTGGCCAGGCTCAATAATGATCACCTGGAGTTTTGTTTTGTTGGCCAACCTTTGTCCCTCTCAAGGAGGTTCCGAAGAAAAAAGTCATGTGGTCATGTTTTGTGAACTATGTTTAAGATCTTGTTTTCTTTTTGTGTATCTCAAACACATTTTTGTTTGCCTGTATATTGGCTAAGTCCCATTTTGGTTTTCTTTATATAAGTGGGTGATGTAAGACTACTGTAATTATGACGTCATGTGTATGCATATAAAGTTTGAAATTTTTGTCCCATATATATCTGCACAGCTTAATGGACTATGTATGTCTGTATCGATTTGGTAGTTGCTAGGCACCTCCAATAATACATTTCAGTTACCATTTTGTCTGGATCGATGTATTCTTAAAGGTGCCCAGCAGCTACCAAATGCTCCAGGTGTTGTTTCAATGCTCTGTAGTTCTGAGTCATGTGCCCTCGGTCCTGATGATAGGAACACCTAAGTTTTTGGTTACGCTGCGCTGGATCTTCTAACATTTTTGGTGGGCAAGCAAAGAATGGTTCTCTTTTGATTTTTTCCATAATACAGTAGATGGGTTCCTTGAAGACTGTGACAACTGCTTCATGGGATTTAGACTTGTCTACCTCATTTACTACGACCCCCTAGGGTTCTCTTTGGTCTGCTCTTCATCGGTTCCCCCAGCCTAGCTGTTCGACTAAAGGCACATCAATGGGAATTTGATCATCTTTAAGGCGAACGTACTGCTCAATCCTAGTACGTAAATCCTTCAGCGCAGTGGTTAGGCGCTTGGTAAATGATTGCCTCAACTTTATTTTCTGGTCATAGACCATGCTTAAAAAATAATACTGCCATTTCTTCACTGTAAACATTTTCCTCCAAATCGTTGTATTCCTCTTAGTATCTCCTTGCGTAGTTCCTCAGTGTTTCCTTATGTTCCTTTCGAAGACCGAACAAAGTGTCCAGTTCCTTTGGGTCTTGGTGTAGGAAACAAATCTGGCCAAGAATTCTTCAGAGAGCTGCTTCTAGTCGTAAATCGATCCAGCGAGGAGACGATCGAACCATGACACCAACCAAGTAGTTACACCAAATTTCTTATGACTCCAACCAAGTAGTTACACCAAATTTCTATGCCTCAACCGACTAATGATCTTCACTTTTGATGCGTACTCCTTTAGTCCTTGTTTTGATCCCTTTGATATCCTCTTCACAGCAACATTGGACTTGGATTCCTTCAAGAAACCTCTATAAACCTCACCAAATCCTCCATGTCCAAGTTTATTCGCAAATTTATTTGTTGCATGAAACAATTCACTATATGAAAACCTCTTTGGCCCAGTACCTGCCTCGAAGTCATTATCCATGGACATATTAAAGGAAAACTCCCCATCTTCTTGATGTGCTCTATTTTTCATCTACAAGACAAACACAAACAAAGCCAACCCACCAACCAAAACAGATGAGCCGATAGTCAATTCCACTACTAGTGCTTTTTTGTTTGTCTTCTTTCTAGGTGTTTGCTTTCCAAGTATTTGCAATCTTGAATTGAATGACCACGATTTAATAATATGTTTCTCAGAATAATCTCCTGTTTGCGGCTGAGAAGCCTATTTTAACCCATTCTGGTAAGTAGTCCCTTAGATTAACTGGCAAACTAAGGGTACTTTCAATTTTTTCATTATTTACATATCTAGTGAAAACAACACTCAAATTTTTTGAACTAGAATCGTAACTAATCCAAGCTTCATTTTCTTTCCCATATGTTATGTTATGGTAAACATATTGCAGTAACATTAGATGTGAGAGAGTTGATATCGATACATACATGAGTTATTGGTGTGATGTCGAGTGGGTCCCATTGCCCATTCTGAAAGGTATCAAACTCCACAACAACAAATGGAGTTGATATGGGGGAAAAAATTGACAAGATTGGAAGACCTATGGCAGCACCATCTGCGTTCATCAGAGTAGAATTGTTAGGAAGAAGGACGAATGTGAGCCCATCTCTAAAACTCGAGTTTCCTTGTGAATCAATGACAAACGAGAAATAGGTGTCGATGTCCGTCAGTGTTCCAGAAGCTTTGTCCCAAAGGTGAAGAAGATCCTTATACAAGGCTCGACCGGCTTTCCACGTTTGGTTTGTAGGGATGATTTTGAGATTGGAAACAGAAGTTGCTCTTTTGACAAGTGTTTGATTAATATTGGTGAAGATAAAGCTCAGTACAGTTGCATGATGAGGAAAGTAGATGACGAAAAAGAAGAAGACGAAGAGAAAACAAAGCTGAATAGGTGATAGGAAGGAGCTCCAAGGCCAAGAGTTGTAGACTGCCGTAGCCATAGGAATGGTTAGTTGTGACGAAAATGAATGCTTGATGAGTGAGTTTGGCCTAATAAATTAGCAAATAATTGGGGGATTGCTCATTAGTTGTTCCAAAGTCTTTCAAAAGTCTTTTATGCATTTTTTTTTAAGACTGTATTTGAAAAATTTTGAAAAGAAAAAAGAGGAAAAGAGAAAAAATGATAAACTATGTCCGTTTGATTTAGTTTTAGAATTATGATTTGAGTGTGAAGTTGTGTTTTGAGTTTTGAGTTTTGAGTTTTTGAATCATGATTTAAAAAGAGAAAATTTGTTTGATTATGAGTTTTGAAAATAGTTTTGGAATGATTTATAATTTTTTTTGATTGATTGATATATAGAATGTGAAAGAATGTGAGAGGAGAAATGAGAGATGCGAGTGAAAAAATGACTGATTGATTGATTAATAATTGAGAGGGTAAAATGTGTAAATCTGGGCTGAGATAAGACCGGGCAGAAGTGAGCTAAGCTGTGGGCTGAGTAAAATGGGCTTCGCCATTGGGCCTAGTTAGCTCGGTCATAAATGACTGAGATAACCCGGTTGGAGTAAGCTAAATCGAGGTACAGGAAGATAATTGGAAGAGCAAGGTGGAACCGAGCTAAGTGAAGCTTGGCTAAATTTGCCAAGCTTAAGCATGACAGTGTTAGCTCGGTCGTTTTGTCATACTATCGAGGTAAAACCATTTCACTTAGTTAAAGTAGTAAGAAGGGGGTTAAGGGATAAGCATTATCTCTTAGAGATGCTTTTCCTAGGAGGACTCTACATTGAGGAATAAAGAGTCCTACTAGGATTGTGCCACACAGAATCTATAAAAGCTCATAATAGGACCTATGTACATGTATCACAATTCTTACTTTCAAATACATAGAGTTTTTGTGTCTATTGTCTATTTTGCTGACTTAGGCATCAGAGGGGTTTTCGGCACACACCTGCCGGCAAGCTCACGATTGTGTTTTCAGGAAGTAAAGCAACGTCGTTTGGAGGAGTGAAAACTTGATCAACAGGATTATACAAGAAGATTATTTCGTGCTCGTACAATTGGCACCGTCTATGGGAAGTGCACAAAGAACAATACCTTTTGATCAAGTTTTCTTCTCTAGTTGGAAAAAATGGCGCACAACGAAAACTTGCCGCAATCTGCTATTGATAGGAAAACCCCGGAGGGGGGTGCAAGGCGCGAAGGTCTGCCCTTTGTCCCATCCATGGCAGAATTAGAACCCCAGCGACGGAACTCCCGGAGGGACACAAGGGAGAGACGGGGTGCTAGTCCCCGTCGCTCTCAAAGTCCTGATAGACAGAGGCGGAGGTTGGATCCTCAAGTTCTGGAGGATCACGTAAGAGAGCAAGACGAGTTAATGGTGGTAGACATGGAGACAATGAAGCGCTAGATAAAGGGTAAAGGAGTGGTGATAGGAGAGGGGCATAAAGGCAACACGCCCCCTCGCCACTCAGAAGATCGTGACAGACATACCACACCATCGTAAGTAGAAAGTAGGAGCCTTAGAATAGGCGATACTCAATCAAGGACTTCCAGGACTCATCACTCCAGGTCTGAAAGAACGAGGACTGAAAGGTTATATACAGAGGGAAGCAACTATCGCCCCTCGCACAAGCACCAGACGACATCTAGGCACACGGAGTTGCCTAGATCAGCGGACTTACAGACAGTGCTCGAGGAAAGGGCCCGATAGAAGGAGGACACCAAGGCTCGCGACCCTCGCAGAGTTTCAGCCCTGCAGCGATTGGCCCCTAGGACACATAGGAGTGTTGAGGTAGGAATGCCAATGTCGCGCCTTGCTTACGAACCAACAGACAAGGTATTAGCAAGGTTACAGAGCTTGCCATTCGTTCTGGAAATTAAAAACGCACCACTACCTTTAGGTTTCCATCAGCCCAAATTCACCACCTATAAAGGGAAGACAGACCCCTACATGCACTTAAGCCACTTTCGCCAGGTTATGATAGTATACCGGCGGAACGAGGCCCTAATGTGTATCCTGTTTCCATCTAGCCTTGGTGACCTAGGTCTAACCTGGTTCGAAAGACTGCCAGAAGGCAGCATAGCCTTATGGGCACAATTGGCAGAAGCGTTCGTGACCGGGTTCATAACGAATACCAAGACACCAGTAGAGATCGACTAGTTACTCTCCATCGACAGGGGCGAAAAGGAAACATTGAGGTTTTACAACAGTCGATATTAGGAGACCTTCAATCAAATTGGGGATTGCCCTACCAATCTCGCCATTGCACAATATAAACGAGGTTTACCAGTCGGTAACAAACTAAGGGACTCAATAACAATGATGACACCCCTCACGATGGAGGCCCTAATGGAGAGAGTGCACCAACATATCTGAGTAGAAGAGGATAGCACACGTGTTAAAGCAAAAACTGGCGCAACAGCGAGGCTAGATAAAAAGACTACAGCGAAAGTCAACACGATGGAACAACCAAATAGGAATGGGCGCGGCAGGAAGCTAACAGAGAGGACCCATAAAAAAAGAACTTTAGAATCCGCACTACCATTACCACAGTATTCAATAAGCCTATCTACCGGATTCTCAACGAGATACATAATGAACCCTTCGTTCGGCGGCCAACCAAGTTGGGAGAAGCACAAAAAGGCTATGACGAGAGGTCCCGATGCACCTTCCATGATGAGAAGGGGCACCGCATTGAAAATTGCACGCCATTGACGCAACATCTGGAGGAGTTAGTGACAGCTGGGCACCTGGACCAGTACATAGAAAGAGGGACACAGCCAGCCCTCCAAGATCTCAACAAACCGAACAGGATGCCAGTCGATGGTCCACCCCAAGGCGTAATCAACGTCATATATGGGATCATCGAACCTGAGCAGGTATGTGAACTCAAGGGGATGATCAAAAAGGCTGAACACTTGAGAGAGGTATTAAGTGCATAACCTACCATCAAAAGGAGCAGAACAGAGGCTATGAACGTCATATCCTTCTCAGACAAAGATCTAGTAAGGCTACATTGCCCTCACAATGACGCACTGGTGGTGACTTTACGCATCAAGAATTTTGACATCAAGTGGATTCTGATTGACCAAGGAAGCTCATGCGAGATAATGTACTATGGGACCTTCAAACAGCTGAAATTGGAGGACAAAGACTTGGCACTTGCAACATTTCCCCTTGTCGGTTTTAACTTAATGCTAGAGTGGCCGGTAGCAAAGATAATCCTCCTAGTCAAGGCAGGAACCATGACAAAACAGGTGGAATTTTAGGTATTGAAGGTCCCTTCCACTTACAACATAATCCTAGGAAGGACATGGCTGCATGCCATGCACTCAGTAGCATCAACCTACCATCAGGCATTATAATTCCCTAACGAAACCAGAGTAATTGAAGAGGTCTTGGGAGACCACATTATGTCAAAACAGTACTTCGTTACAGTAAATGACAGCTGGGCTGCAAAAGGGTATATACAAATGGCAGAAGAACCAGAGAGCAATGAACTGTTTGCGGATGTTGGCAAGACAGCTGAACAGAAGGCAGTGGAAGACTTGGTAGAGGTAAGGATAGATGAAAAGAACCTAGCAAAGTTCTTTTTGCTCGGCTCGTCTTTGTGTAGCACTGAGAGAATAGAGGTCATGAAATTCTTAACCTCTAACATCGAAGTGTTTGCCTGGACGCCATACGACATGCCTGGCATTGACCCAAACTTCATCTGTCACCAACTTAATGTCCACCCAACTGCCAGACCAATTATACAGCGAACTCGCAGATCGGCACTCCATCACGCGGAGATAGTGGCGAAGGAAGTGGGAAACTTGCTGGAGGCAGGAGCCATCAGAGAAGTGCACTATCCCAGGTGGATCTCCAATACCGTAGTAGTACCAAAGAAGAAAGAAAAATGGCGCGTCTGCGTGGATTACAAAACAGTCAACAAGGCATGCCCAAAGGACAGTTTGCCCTTACCACGGATAGACCAACTGGTAGACCTGACGGCAGGACACAATCGACTTAGCTTCCTTGATGTGTATAGAGGTTACCATCGGATCGATATGTATGAACTAGATCAGGAGGTCACATCATTTACAACACCTAGAGGATTATATTGTTACAAGGTCATGCCCTTTGGCCAAAAGAACGTAGGGGCTACATTCCAACGGATGGTCACCAAAATGTTTGAACCGTTGTTAGGCAAAACAATGGAGGCTTACATAGATGACATGGTGGTCAAAAGAAAGGATGAGAAGGACCATCTCAAGGACCTAGATGAAATGTTCCAAATTCTAAAGAAGAACAAGTTGCGTCTAAATGCATCCAAGTGTGCACTCGGCGTTGGATCAGGTAAATTCCTAGGCTTTCTGGTCACCAACCGAGGTATAGAAGCAGACCCCTCTCAGATCAAAGCAATCCAGAATCTTGAGAGGCCCAACACAATTAAAGAGGTGCAACACCTCACTGGCCTAGCAGCCGCACTCAACCGATTAATAAGTCGGTCATCAGATAGATGTCGACCATTCTTCCAAGCATTAAAGGCCAAATTTGAGTGGGATGAAGAATGTGACCACGCCCTAGAGAGCTTGAAAGACTACATGACCTCTCCCTCATTGCTAGTAACCCCAGTACCTGGAGAAGAGCTCTTTTTGTACTTAGCAGTTTCACAGCACGCAGTCAGTGCAGTGTTGGTCAGAGCGGAAGGAATCCAATACCTGCCCATCTTTTATGTTAGCAAAACCTTGCTGGGTGCAGAAACCAGGTACTTACCATTGGAAAAGCTGGCCTTAGCTTTGATGATGGCCTCAAGGAAGTTGTCTCATTACTTCCACGCCCACACCATGATCGTCTTAACAGTTTTTCCCTTAAAAGCTTTGTTTGAAAGGGCAGACTTTTCTAGACGAATCTTGAAATGGGCGGTGGAATTGGGACAGTTAGATATCAAGTTTCAACCTACAACTGCAACCTCGAACTGCAATAAAAGCCTAAGCTTTGGAGACTTCGTGGCTGAG